AAGTGCATCATGTGTGATGTACTGCAATCTGACTAATTTTCACAGTGCAGCAGTAAAGACAAACCTTCAGGGAGGAACCTTTGACAGAACACAGTGTCTGTCAGGTCGACCTGTTGTTATTTCAGTCTACCTGAATCAGTGTGCATGATATTTCCTCCTTCATCTCACTGCCAAACCGTGTTTCTGTCAGGAGGCTCCTCTCTGTTACACAAATCTTCTCCTCTAAAACTAACTTTAGATTTTGGACAGGCAGGATCTCAGATTGGGATATTAAGTTGTTTTTAAAGACAAAAAAATAAATAAAAATAAAATAAAAAAATAAAATTCAACAACCTACCATTAAACCTCTCCATGCACCAAGTGTTATTTTTTGTATTTTTCTTGGCCTATTTTGATTGTGATTTTTCTATTTAATATTTGATCTTGACTTTTGCAGAACTTCGTTGTTATTTCCACTTATTGCATGCACCAGTCTTTTCAGAAGTAATTATGTATCTTTTTGATAGCATTTCCTTTATACTTGTTTAGGTGACATATCTTGCATCAAAGGGCTTTGTAGTTGAGATAGAACAACATTGTAACAGTGTCAGTTACATTGTAACAAATTATAAGGGTGACACTATTTGATTATAAGGTCAGCTCTCTAGATGAGTAAGTCGGTGGCCCTTATAAGGACCTTTGGTTAGATACAAGCTCTAGAAAAAAAATCCACTCAGAGGATTTGGAGGAAAAATTGCAAAATTTTCCAAAAGCTTGGTATTGTTTCTTTCCTAACAAACTGGGTGATGTAAATGGAGCCTTGAATTCTGTGAGAAAAGGTAAAAATTCAGGGGGTTACTTTGATCACCTCTGCTTATGAATAAAAAGTTTAGCATTTCGAGTAACAATATTAATTAGATATTGAAGAATACTTTTATCTGGATCATCATAATAACAAATAATATCCCTGAGGTTAAAGGAGTAAACTGAATTAGAGTTTTCAAAGAGGTGAGATTCCACATCGCTCCAAAATCTTTTGGATATTTTACATTAAAAAAAACAAAAAAGAGAAATACCTCCTACCTTCTATATTAATACTTATCAGAATATGCAACTGTACAGTTAATGTGAGTGTTGAAGTCAAGTGTATTACTTTGTAGATGATCTTTTTGGCTGCTGTATCAGTTTCCATCACTTATTAAATCTTCTATCAACTTAAAGTTACAGTAGACTAAATATATAATAAATTTAACAAATTTGTCTGCATCTCTCATACCTGACAACCACCAACGGCATAATGGAGATAGATAACACATGCTGCTTATTTTACAGCTCAATCTTCTGTGGTGTTTGAGTATTGTTTCAGTCGCAAACACCTTGTCAGTAATACATAGTATTAGTTTAAGGAAAGCCTTCAGATAAAGTGGGTGGCTCTTAAAAGAGCCGTTGATTTATGATTACAAACAGCAAAACTGTTTACTTGGAGCTGGTGTACTTGGTGACGGCCTTGGTGCCCTCAGACACTGCGTGCTTGGCCAGCTCACCGGGCAGCAGCAGGCGGACGGCGGTCTGGATCTCCCTGGAAGTGATGGTGGAGCGCTTGTTGTAGTGAGCCAGACGGGAGGCCTCACCGGCGATGCGCTCAAAGATGTCGCTCACAAACGAGTTCATGATGCCCATAGCCTTGGACGAGATGCCGGTGTCGGGGTGGACCTGCTTCAGCACCTTGTACACGTAGATGGCGTAGCTCTCCTTCCTGGTCCTCCTCCTCTTCTTGCCGTTCTTACTGACGCTCTTAGACACGGCTTTCTTTGAGCCCTTCTTGGGCGCTTTTACGGTGGTTTCAGGCATGATCAGGACGGTACGTCACTTCTGAAACGTATGACGTGCAACGCTCCAGAATGGTCAATTTGTATCCACCTGATGCAAATAAGACTGTGCTGTCGCTCGCACAGGATTGGTCAGCTTCTGAGGCTGAGGAACAATACAGTGGGTGAGTGAGGGGTGAAAGAAGAAAATCGTGTTATGGAGAAAAATAAACACATAAAAATTAAACACCCATTCTAGTTTTTCATCATGTGAACATCAGAATATTTCAGGGTTTTGTTGAATCATCTAATGGAGAGTTCAGCCCTCATTATCCACCTCTCCCAAATCACACATTACACAATCTGTTTTCCTCCTGATTACACTTTGATTAACCAACTGTTAACATCTCACTGTTTCTTTATAATTTTGCCACAAAGGCTCAGTCTTAGACTTGGTTAATAACTCTATAGTTAATAACTAAATGTAGTTTACATTTATATATCAGAAACTGTTGGTGGTTATCATGTATAATAGATACAGGACTTTGTTAAATTTAGCATATATTTAGTCTACTATAACTTAGTTGCATCAGCCAAAAATATCATCTACAAAATAATACAATTGACTTCAGGATATGACTCAGATTAACTGTACAGTTGCATAGTCTGATAAGTATTAATATAGAAAGCATTTCTCTGCTTTGTTTTTTCTTCAATGTGAAATATTCATTTTTGGAGCGATCTGGAATCTCACCTCTTTGACCTTGGACAAACCTTCGGGGAGGAACCTTTGACAGAACACAGTGTCTGTCAGGTCGACCTGTTGTTATTTCAGTCTACCTGAATCAGTGTGCATGATATTTCCTCCTTCATCTCACTGCCAAACAGTGTTTCTGTCAGGAGGCTCCCCTCTGTTACACAAATCTTCTCCTCTAAAACTAACTTTAGATTTTGGACAGGCAGGATCTCAGATTGGGATATTAAGTTGTATTTAAAAAACAAACAAACCCTGCAACAAGCTACCAATAAACCTCTCAATTTGTTCATTTGGAAGTCTGCTGTCATAGGCTACTATAAAAAAATAAAAACTATCTTTTTCTAGGCCTATTTTTTTCAGATTTCCTCTTATTATAAGCACCAAACACCAAGACAAATTTCTTCTAAGTAAAATAAACAAATGTGGCAATGAGCCTTATTCTGATGACAACCTTCATTATTTATGGGTCTGAACAACACGTCTGGTATAAAGTTACACAGAAGATCTCCTCAATCTTTAGTTGGTTTGGTTAGTAGCTGAAATGGAATGACATTACATGGTAATTCATTTATAAGGGTGAAAATATTTAATTACAAGAGAGATTCTGCTCTCTAGATGAGTAAGAGGGTGGCCCTTAAAAGGGCCTTTGGTTTCCAATAATTAACAGTCAGTGATTTAACCTCCGAAGCCGTACAGAGTGCGGCCCTGCCTCTTCAGAGCATACACCACATCCATGGCGGTCACAGTCTTCCTCTTGGCGTGCTCGGTGTAGGTGACAGCATCACGGATGACATTCTCCAGGAACACCTTCAGCACACCGCGGGTCTCCTCGTAGATCAGACCGGAGATACGCTTCACTCCACCACGGCGAGCCAGACGGCGGATAGCGGGTTTGGTGATTCCCTGGATGTTATCACGGAGAACTTTGCGGTGACGCTTAGCGCCTCCTTTACCGAGTCCTTTTCCTCCCTTGCCGCGACCACTCATTTTATCAGATCAGGTTTGTTACGAAGCAAAACTGGATGTCAGCGGCTGTGAACGTGGATATTTAAATCCTCTCTGCGGACGTAGTTGATCTCTGCTGGGCGGAGACATTTGTTCTAACAATAGAAACTAGGACACTGATGAACCCTTCACCTTCACAGTAGAGGCGGGAAATTACTATTCTTCTGTGAATCCCTTTTTGTTTTGTTTTTTTAAATGTCTAAATGTCATGTTAAAAAAATGAGAGAAACAACATATACAAAACATCAGGTAGTTAATAACAGCACATATAAAAATATAAAACCAAAAATGTATGACATGAGTACAGAGTTTGTTCTTTTCAATGACTAACACCAATAGTGAATAATAGGTCATGAGCTTGGCTGTATAGCTCAGGGCCTCTGCCCTTTTCTAACCATGGTTGGTGTCTTAAATTAAATGTGGACTGTTAAATATCAGGTCTCTAACATCTAAAGAAGTGTTAGTCAACAAATTAATATCAGATAATCCTATTGATTTACACAGACTCACTGAAACCTTGCTGTAGAGACAAAATGGCTGTAGAGGCAAAATTCATGACCTCCTGTCCTCAGATAGTACCTATCTGTCCTCAAACACAGCTGTAAGACCTAATATATATTAAGATTGCTTCTCCCCGATATCTCTTCAAGAATTGACTGCAGTGACTTCTTCATCTAAATCATTAGCGTGTCTCTTAGACCCCATCCCATCTTTTAAGGTAGCTGTAATTAAACCTCTCCTAAAAAAAGCCCACCCTGGATCCAGAGGTGTTAACCAACTATAGACCAGTATCTAATCTTCCCTTTCTTTCAAAGATCCTTGAGAAAGTAGTCACAGACCAGCTGTGTGATTTTCTCCATGATAATACTTTATTTGAGGAATTTCAGTCAGGATTTAGAGTGCATCATAGCACTGAGACAGCACTAGTTAAAATTACAAATGACCTTTTGATTGCTTCAGACAAAGGACTCGTCTCTGTACTTGTTTTATTAGATCTTAGTGCGGTGTTTGACACAACTGACCATCAAATTCTACTGCAGAGACTGGAACACTTAATTGGCCTAAAAGGTTCTGCACTAAGCTGGTTTAAATCTTATTTATCTGATCGTTTTCAGTTTGTTCACGTTCATGATGAATCATCCTTACGTACTAAAGTTTGTTTTGGAGTTCCACAAGGTTCTGTGTTGGACCAATCCTATTTACTCTATATATGCTTCCTTTAGGTAACATCATTAGGAATCACTCTGTAAATTTCCATTGTTATGTGGCTGATACACAATTGTATTTATCTATGAAGCCAGAAGAAAGTAATCAATTAAATAAACTTCATAACTGCCTTAAAGACATAAAAACTTGGATGAGCACCAATTTCCTGATGTTAAATTCAGACAAAACTGAAGTTATTGTTCTTGGCCCCAAACAACTCAGAGACTCTTTATCTGATGACATAGTTTCTCTAGATGGCATTGCTCTGGCCTCTAGCACTACCGTAAGAAA